ATATATTAATCATAAGAATCAATTATTTGTAGTTATTTTGGATACAAATAGTTTGATTTATATAGCTGAAAATATGATGATGAATTTTAGTTTTTTTATATTATTATCAGATATTCTAATAGCGTTGTATGATATAATTTAGATAATAAAAGAGTTGTTTTAAATAGATCTCAGGGTAACTATTTGTTATGTACTTGATTTGACATGACCTATTATCATATATTGGTTAAATCAAGATACGTTGTGATAAGAATTTCAAACAAAAGATGATCATCATTTATGACAAGTATTAAAATTATTATAATTTTTAATATAGGATAATTTATTACCCTTAGTGGAGGAGCATTGGAATAAATAAAGAAGACACGTGTCCATGATAATATCCAAACATAGTATAAAGAAAGACCAAAACCCTTGAAAGGAAGATTATGTTGCACCTATACAAAAAGTTGAATAACCTATCTTATGAGAAAAATATTAAAGCTCGTAGAGAGAGAAGAGAGGAGTGACTTTCTCTCCTTCTCTAAGGGCTGTCTATTGGTTTAAAATTATCAAGTATTTTAACATTCATGTGTGTGTCATTGTGTGCTTGTGACTAGCGGTATTTGCATGACCTTGTGCGCTACATGCACACGCTTGTGTTTGTGTGTCAATCACGTGTGCCATGCACACATAATTATGGGTACATATGCTTTCAAGTCTACACATATTTTTCTGCGCCTATTTTACCACACGCACACCGCTACCAAACAGTGGTAGCCCCTCCCACATTGACGCGCATTTTCTGTTCGGGCACCTGACGTACCTATGTGTGCGGTGCAAGTTATTCCTGAGTTATTTTCAGGTTATTCCTGAGTTATTTTTAATAATTCCGAAATAATCCAGAAATAACCCAAAAATAAAAACAGCGGGTTATTTCTGGGTTATTTCGGGATTATTGAAAATAACCCATAAATAACCTAAAAATAACTCAGGAATACACTGCGCCGCACGTATAGCTACGTCAGGAGTCCGCAGAGAAAAATTTTTGCCCCCCTAGGCCTCAATTGATTTATTCCATAATGTTTTTAAATATTTAAATTAAAATTTCAAAGTTTAAAATAAACAAAGCCTCGTAATGACTTTTGAGTAATTTGAAGAATTAGTTTTTTTTTTTGTAATAAATTTTGCTCCAATTTAATGTACCGATTTTAAGAATATCTAAAATCGATTTACTCGGTTTATAGCCTCAGTGGAATTCCACGTTGATCTCCTGGTAGCAATAAAATCTTGTAATACTCCTTGAGTGATTGCTAAGAGTTGTAAATTTTTTTAAGGACGTATGACATAATTTTGATGTCCAAAAATTAGTGGGCAACGATTAGATCACTAAAAAATCTACATGTTTAGGCACAAATCCTAATGCATGTTTTTATGTTAGAATTTTCACAATCAAATTCAAAATCAAATTCAAAATCATTTAAGATCATTTTTAGCAAATTTATGATCAAACTAAATTTGATTTGAGTCGAAATGAACCAAATCAAATACTTAGTATTGTTTCAAAATATCTATTGATAGATAGGATAATCTTTGAAATTTGTATGCTTATAGGTAAATTGAGCATCTTGATGACAGAAATCTAGTTAACTTACAACCACTCATTTTTCTCATTAAAATATTTAGATGCTAAGAAATTGATATATTATCAAACCAATTAGCATGAGTCATCTAATGGTGTATTTTAAGAGTTTGGCTAAATTTGCTAAATTGTCATTCTAAAAATTAAATAGAACTTTTGCTCTAGAAAGGAAATTTGAGTGCTTAATTTGAACTCATCACAAACATTCATCATCTATGACCACAAGCTCTTATAGTGACACAATAATTATAATATGGCTACTATTGCCCTTTATCTGAATTCTTGTTGCGTAGCAATTATTGCTAATCGATATTGTTCTTCAATAATAACGAGAAGACAATCATTTATGTTTTTTAGAAAATCTCCCTTATTTCAATTATATATTTAACTATTTTGTCCAGCCTTATCCTATGATTTTTCTCTTTTATTTAAAATTTTCATAAAATAGTTTCCTCGTCTCTTATCCCTTTTATCAATATGTGTTGGATATTCCTATTAAATTAAGACTTAATTTTTTCAGCATTATACATAATTATTTTTGGGAAAGGAGAGGATTAGATATTGGCATATAGACAGACTACAATTGGAACTATTATCTCCAAATTTGGGGGTCAAAGAGTTTCACAAAACTTTTTTGGTGGAAAAAAATGTGTGAAAGATCCCAGTGGACCATAAATCTAAGAAATAGTAAGAATATTTGATCTCTCTCAATATCTCACTAAATTTGAATATCCAGGCTTTGAATTGATGTTTCATTGATTCCTACTAAAGATTTCATTTCAATTGGAATTTAGTTATTCACGATATACGATAATCCCTGTTAAGCATTCTTGGCTGAATGATTAAAGCGCCCAACACATAATTGGCAAATTTGTAGGTTCATTTCCCGCTGGATGCACGCCATATATTCACTAACGCAAAATTCTAATTAAAAGCCTATAAAAATACCACATTTATTAATATGAGAACTTCTTAGTTGATGACATATTGACATTTGCGTAGACAGATCAGCTAATAAAACTTGGCTGTAAAGATAAGATTTGCGCCACCTAATCGGATCATTAATTCCTATTCCCCTGAATTGGTAAACCCGAACTAATAGATAACGCCAATTGATAAGACTGTTCAAGGGGCCGTCCATAAAATACGGCTAAATGTTATGCAGAAATATCTCCTTCAAATTAAATAAAATATTTTTTTGAGACATTTAATAAATAAAATAATTAATTAAGATTAATAAAGTTTGTTTTTTTTTTAATATTTTCTTACAATAGTGACTTAAAATGGAGTAATTTGATTAGCGCAATCAATGTTCAGGGACCCACGTATTTACATACATGCCACCCAATTTCTATGTACTTCCATACCCAACACCTAAACATTGCTTTTTATTTTACGCCGCCCAAATCTTTCATATCACATTAAGAATATCATCATTTTAATTTTTAAAAAGAAATATATTTTTCAAATTTAATAAACTTATAAGAATTGAGTGATATGTTTGTAAATAATATTTGTACTCCCGAAGAGCCTTTTTTTGAGATTTTTTTACGGTGCCTAATTTATTAAATGTGAGTGAAAGATCCCACTGAATCGAATTTAATAGATATCACATAAATCACAATTCTTATATATTTACATATTTAATGGATGAATTTTATTATTTATTTCCTCAACATCACATAAAATATTATAGTGAAATAAATCTTTTTAATTTGATTATTAGTAAATATCAAAATTTAGAGGTTAAATATGTACATTATAATTATTTTGGGGTACAAGTGCATGGGGCTGCCAAAAAAGCTCGTTGGCGAACAGCTCGTGTTCGGCTTGTTAAGCAGCTCGTGTTCGGCTCGTTCGTTAAGTAAACGAGCCGAACACGAACAAATTTTCAAAGCTCGAATTATAAACGAACTGAACATTTATATAATAATATATTACATATATTATTTATATATTAATATATTATATATTTATATCTAAGTTCCAAACTTTACACCTCATGTGGTAACGTAGTTAGTGACTGTTTTTGCATACATTTGGTATAGGTTATTATCCAACATTTTACATCTATTTTTTTCAATTTAATTTTAAAAAGTCAATTTCGAGTCGAACACGAACACACCGTTCACAAGCCAATTTCGAACAGTTTTGAATGAGCTGAACACGAGCCAAGCCTGAGTTCACTCAAGCTCGGCTCATTTACAGCCCTCTAAGTGCATCCCAACATAATTTTATCATTTTCCTTACAATTTTCTAAAGTAATTGTGGAATCTGTGGAGCATATTATATTAAATTTAATACAACTGTATCACAATTCACCCTAACTTTTGAATATGTAAATACTGAATATTATAATAAATTTGTTCCTGCCAAAAAAAAAAAAAAAGGTTGGTTCAGCGCTTGCCAACATTAAACCAATAAAAAAATGGTCGCTGTGTAGAATTCAGTTAATTATTTTAAAATTTAAGTTCGTTTGATTCGGGGGAAAAAAAAATTGTGGGGTCAACTAAAATATAATTTATTATTTTATACTCAATTTTTTATATTAAAATTAGACAATTATTTTCGTTTAAAGTTAAATTTAATATCAACAATATTCAAAATATCTGATCATTTTCGAATCCGACCGCTCGGCCCCGCGCGATCACATGTAGGCAACCGGCGGAATTGAAAGCTTCTTGTCCGATCAAGACAGCCATTAATACGTTCGAGGTACACAGTTGTAGACCCCTGGCGAGGGAGAGCAGCCCGCCCATGGAGTTCAGCCACATCGTTTCATCCCCGCTGGCGAGATCGACGGGAGCCTGCAACCACCGGTTAGGAAACGGATCCACCACTATCTTCCAATCTTCGGCCATTCTGTTCCCGTCGTTTGTTCGTCCGCGATTGGCCGGTAAACGGGATCGCTTCGGGAGAAAGCGCCACCTCGGCACGTACGCCACCTTGGACGCTGCCTCTTTCATGGTGGCCAGCTCTCGAGACTTGGGAGTAGCTGCGCTTGTGACGGCCGGGGGGTATTCACTGGTGCGTGCCTTTGATCGCCTCACGATGCGAGACCTCATCGAAAAGGTCTTATAATCCTTTCCCACTTAGAACTTTAGAGGTTTGGGTGAAGGAACTTTTGAAGTGATTTAGATAGAAATGATTTTGTCTACTTGAGTTGTTATTTTTGCTATGGTTACGTTCTGCTTGTTGAAAACATAAAATGTTTGGGCTTCGGTGTTTGCCAGCGATTTCTTAGGTGGATCTAAAGGCTTTTGATTATTCTTTGCGGGTACACATTTCACTGGAAGGAATTGTAAAATGACTAGTGAAATGTGAAACTAATTGCTGCAGGTAAAAATTTAAACTGTAAAATTGGGTGAAACACGCATCATTTACTTTATTATCATATTTTCTTCCTGTTGAACCTAAAATGTCCGTGAGTCCCGCCCAATGAAATGAATAGAGAACGTAAGATGAGTCGAAGAAGCAGGGAATGAACTGTAGAAAATAGTGTAAGGGAATGTACCCTATATATACAATTACTTTTATGTCCTTTTTCTATATAAAGGAACTCAGGAGTACTAAAATTTACATTAGACATTATACAAATGGACTTTTCACTGATGGGGTGACCCCTCACTTGCTCGGTTTGCTCCTATTCATTTATCTCTTAGCCGGACGAACCACGTGACGACAATATGTGGTCTTCTGGTTTGGCTTCACCAGTTTTCCTATCACAGTTTCTTGGTCCGCTTTTGCCTGCTTGATGGATATCTTGCGCTCGACCGATTTTGTGAATCTCCTTTGTTCGGCCTTTGAGGTCAGTCTGCTCGTCATATGGTCGAGTAGCCCATTCATATTTTGTGACAACCTTTAGATTTTGAGTGTTGATTATCTAAATGATCTGATTTGGCCCTGCCGACCGGCTCTAACACATCTCAGCTATAGACCTACCTCATTTATCTTGTTTCATATTCTTGGGTGGAGATTCGTGCCGTCTTGATCTGGTCATATTCCTCCAATCACAAGCCTAATAGTGGAAAAAAGTAAAATCGCATTGCATTTTATTGATGTAGTTTACTGAGGAATGTATAAAGTTTGTACAAGCCTTTTGACTAATTATGCATGATAGGTTTTGTTATATTTAGGAGAAGTAGGCTTTTTTCTTCTAGATTCTATAGTTATTGTTATTGATGAAAGAATTAGCATGAAAAACCTTGATCTAAATCTCTATTCATCTAAGTCATGTGAATCATGTTACTATGAGAGCTCGAACTTGGTTTAACAAGCCTCTTATTGTGACCGGCAACATGCCAATCCTGTAGTAATCTAAAGTAGCCTAAAGCCTCTAGTCGCTTAGAATTGAATCTTATTATGTTCCTTCAGAAATAAACACTAGATTATCAATATGAATTACTAAACTTACTTAAGGGGCACATGAAATCATATTTTTGCCAATGTTAGTAGCCCAAATAAACTCAGGAACTCGCCCTTCATTTTTTACCAATTGAGTAGGGATTCTCATCAAAAAAGTACACTGGGGTTACATGCCTCGACCAAAATTATCAACCATCGGCCATAGGCCATACATGCATGTGTCGTGAAAAACGACGACAAAAAAATGAAAAATGAAACAAGAAAAATTGCACGAAAAAAAAAACACCTGAGCGACACACAGATTTACGTGATTTTGCAAATTTGCCTACGTCCATGGAGCTGCAGAGGATTTTATTACTTCGAGGAATTACACTGTCAATCGTCTGAATGTTTACAAGAAAATCTCTCTTTCTCTCTCTCTCTTCCTCTCTCTCTTTCTCTCTCTTTTAGAGGACTTGGTTTGACCTAGTTTGACTTCATTTATGACAAGCCATAAGAGACTATTTTTATAAACTAGGAGAGCGGTAGGTGGGAGGTAGGTGAGCTGTAGGTTGGTGTGGTTGGTGAACGGTAGGTGAGAAGATAGGTGAGCGGTAGGTGAGATTCTTAATTAGAAAGCTAATTAAATTGCGGTGGACCGGGTCTCCACATTACCTAACAATTCTCCCACTTAGAGTCTGGGACACTGACTGCATCACCTACTGACGGCATCACCTACTGACTGCATCATCTATTAGCTGTACTGATCTTTTCCTTAAACATGATATCCTCCACCTCTGTAACTCAAAGTCTCTGTCTTCATGTTAGAAAACTAGCTGAAGTCGAGCACAACTTCAGCTTCTCACGAGCAACACCCTCAGTTGACATATCACCGTCAACGTAGCCTTGTGTCATCAAGCTCTTTTCTGGGTTACTTTTGTATTTACTTACAACTCTCACTACATGAGCAACATTTTGTCTCTGCTAAAAGCTTTTTTCAACAAGTTCAGTCTTATACCTCTTACTGCCACCAAACATAGTCTTCACCTGGTACACCCACTTGTTGTACAATGTTTTCTTCTATGGCAGAAGTTCTGTCAGCTTCCAAGTTTAATTCCTTGGCAGGGAATCCGTCTCATCCTTATTGGTCAGCTCCCACTTGCTCGAATTTTCATCTTGCAAGATTTCTTCATAGCTCTGTGGTTTTCCACAATTTGTCTGTACAAGGTCCGGTTTTCCTGCCTTTGGCGCTCTGCCACTTTTTAGGAAACTGACCTTCTTCTTCTTCTCTATAATGCACCTCTAACTCATGTGTCATCTCCTGAGCAAACCTATAGTCATATATAGTGTGTCAATTTTCTTACCCCGAGTCAGTATTAATGCTCTTTTGGTAACCTTCCAGGTGTTATGTGAGAACACCACCGAACGACCGCCCTCATTGAGTTGCCCAATAGAGATGAGGTTTTTCTTCAACTCAGGAACATATCTGACATTTTGCAAAGTTCATTTGCTCTTGTTAGTGAGTGCAATATCAACGTCTCTCATCCCCACCACGTCCAAAGCTTTTCCATCTCAGTCATTTCTCTATTTGTCAGATATACTTTCCCAAAGTCACCTGCAACATAATTTCATATCAATTCCCGACGGGAAGATGTAGGGAAGAAAGCCCCTGAATCCAATATTCAGTTATCAGCAAAACTGTGAACTGTCAGCAATAGCGCATCCTGTATTTCTTCAATTACAACATTAACACCATTATTTTCCTTTTTATTAGGATTCTTGCAGTTTCTTTTTTATGTGATCGGACTTGCCACAATTCCAGCAGGTTGTCGACTGACCAGACTTTGATTTTGATATTTCTTTGTTTGAGTTTCTATCTTGTGATCTCCCTTTGGAATCAATAATCTGTGCCGAACTAGAACCAGAGGTCTCGCCATAATCTTTCCTGCACACCTCCTCAGTCGCACACCTCCTCAGTCAAAATTCAAAATTAAATCATGAATATTATCATATTCAGTTTAGATTTACCTGTAGAACTGCTAACTGTCATCCTCATAATTTCCCAACTATTTCGCAACGATGCCAACAATATTAACGGACGTATGTCATCAGCGCACGTATCTCGTCGTCATCAAAATCAATTACACCAGTCGACAAGTAATTTGTGATAGTATTGAAATCATTCAGGTGTTGAGCAACAGAGGCACATTCTACCATCTTTAAGTTGAATAATTTTTTCATCAAATACACCTTGTTTGAATAATTTTTTCATCAAAATTTTTTCATCAAATACACCTTGTTATTCGTTGATGGCTTTTCATACATACCTGATAAAGCAGCTATGAGATCTGCAGTAATCATCTTCTTGATGACGTTGTGGACAACTGATCTCGACAGGGTTAATCGAATAACCCCCAGAGCCTGTCGATCCAACAGATTCTATTCCGCCTCGTCCATCTTTTCCGGTCGCTTTCCCAGTAACAGAAAATAAAATTTCTTCCCAAAGATGTAGTTCTCTATATGCATCCTCTAGTAAGTAAAATCTGTGTCATTAAACTTCTTGATCCCCGAAGTCATCACTTCGTCTCCGCTCATTGTTCTTCCTTAGATCCGACCCAAAGCTCTGATGTCAGTTGTTGTGAAAACTACGACAGTAAAGCGAAAAATGAAATGAGAAAAATTTCATGAAAAAAACTACTTGAGCAACACACATATTTACGTGGTTCGGCAAATTTGTTTCGGCAAATTTGTGAAAAAAACTACTTGAGCAACACACATATTTACGTGGTTCGGCAAATTTGTCTACGTCTACGGAGCTGCAGAGGATTTTATTTCTTCGAGGAATTACACCATCGAGCGCTTCGACGTTTAAAAGAAAAACTCTATTTTTTTCTCTCCCTCTCTCTCTCCCTCTCCCTCTCCCTCTTATTCTCTTTTAGAGGACTTGGTTTGGCCTGACTTGGCTTCATTTATGATAAGCCATAAGAGACTATTTATAAAAACTATAAAAACTAGGAGAGCGGTAGGTGGGAGGTAGGTGAAATTCTTAATTAGAAAGCTAATTAAATTGCGGTGGATCGTGTTTTCACATTAACCAACAACTTGCTACACAACTAGCTATATGGAATCCAAATTATATACGTTTTGCATAATCAGACTGTATTTACTTCTATAACGCCAACTATAATCCTCACATATAATGGAGTGTTGTTGATCGAACATGAGTTCTACATATTGAATAAGAAATCTAAAACATCAAAATTTCTCTCGGAATATATCTGGGAATCTCTTCACAATCCTTTTATTTTCTTTCAATCTTCTTTGTAAACTCAGTTGAGCTTACCCTTAATGTTCCTTTATCTTTTTAAGTTTTTTTATTACAATTTGCAGATTTGCATGATCCTTACCTAATTGAATCAACTTACATGTAGCAGCTTCTCTTTTTAAAAAAATTTATTTTCTCATCCATATGCCATGATCATATAGAGATTTATTTCTTAATTCTCTTCTAGACCTCTATTTCTATAGCTATCTCTTTTTTGCGGTTTTAATAATGAGATAGAAAAGTGTAATGCCCATTTTATCATTCACAACAATGTTACAATACCTCATGATGCAAGCCCAAAAAGAAAACAAAAATAAAAAAAATCTTAGTGCGCTGGAATGCTCAGGTGGCATAAAGTAGTTGGATGCAATATGCACTCATATGAGACTAGGAAGCTCTCTCTCTCTCTTTTTTTTTTTTTTGTTAATATGATTCATTAAGACATTTTGTGCTTTGGGTGGGGCAGCATGACATTATTCATCATTTAAAAGCATAACAATATCTAAGATGGACTTGTCAATGATGAAAAGATTTTTGTCTTTTGCTTGTGGTATCTTTGACTGTGATCCTTACTTAATTGTATTTCAGAACAGAGCTTGAGCAGAAAGATTGTCCATGTTTTATCTGGTCTTCTCTATACGGCCTCCTGGCCATTGTTTAGGTATCATTTCCTCTCATGTTCCAAATTTTATATAATTGTTTGTTAGTTTCCTAGATCTAATTTTCAATGTTCACATCTTTTTTCTCCAAACCTCTTTGCAGACCAACAATTTTGTTTACTCCTTTGCCACCTCTTGCAGCTCTTCATCACAGGCAAGATATTTTGCAGCCGTTGTTCCTCTTCTGAACTGCATAAGGCTACTAATCTATGGCCTTTCTATTGTCACCGATGAAGATGTGATAAATTCAATTACAAGAGAAGGAAAATCAGAGTACTATTACAATATTCTTTATTCCAGCCCTTATGCCCTTGTGATATACTGTCAAATGATTATGAAATCACACATTTTGGTTGCTAACAGGGAATTGCTGAGAGGTCCTCTTTACTATGTCATTGTCTTGATGGTTTCTTCATTAATCTTCTGGCGTGAATCGCCCGTCGGTATAATTTCACTAGCTATGATGAGTGGTGGAGATGGTAATTTCATCTTTGTTTCTTATTCTTTCTTTCTTTGATAGTCCAGGAAACATACCTTTACCTTTCAGGTATTGCTGATATAATCGGTAGAAGATATGGATCTCTGAAGCTTCCTCATAATAGAAGAAAGAGCTGGATGGGAAGCATTTCAATGTTCATTTTTGGTATTATTTTCTCAGTCATGTAGGTTCTAACTATGAAGAAGAAAGAAATTGAATATTGCTACTTCAAATCATCTGTTGCAGAATTGTTTCATTTCTTACTGTTTTTCATGTAGGATGCTTTACTATTTTTCAGCTTTTGGTTACTTTCATTTGGGTTGGAGTACAGTTGAGAAGGTAGTCTTGATTTCTTTTGCCGCCACCGTTGTGGAATCTCTTCCATTATCCGAAGTGATTGACGACAATATTACAGTTCCTGTAACCAGCATGGTTGCAGCTTGCCTGCTCTTTGGATTTTAACTGATGAGAAGGTTCGTGAGGTATTGATGCTTCTTGAGTGCTGTTTAGAACTAAAACAGGCAAAAAGAATTAGAATAATGTGAAAATAAAGAAGGGATGAGAAAAAGTACAATGAATTCGGTGTAAAATTTATATGATGAATGTCAGAGATGCAATTAAATGAAAATGTTGTTTTAGTAGTTAATAACAAATCCTTAAACACATTAAATCCCAATTATTGATGCAGCAATAAAGTTTATATTATAATTGCTCTTATAAATGGGTTTATTTAATTGGAGCAGAATGTTGAGCTAATTTAAGATATGTTAAGCAAGTAATGGTAGGTTTACGATTTAAGGGTTTTAATCTATTTGGTTGGTGAAAAAAATGGGCTATTATTGAAATAAATGAATGGTTGTCTTTTGGCTTGAATTGATTTCTTTTTTTCTTTTTTTCCATTTTGATGTTATAATATTGTTTTTATTTTAGTTGATATATTGTTTCGAGAGTTAAAAAAGGATTCATATCATGATTTCTCGATAAATTTTATACTAGATGTCAACTATCTAACATATATCTTCATTTTTCACATACGGGCTTGGACTTCTACGTGCAGACTCCAATAACATGCCGCCACATGTTCTACATCACGAAGGTTATTTTTGGATTATTGCATTAGAGTCGTGAATGTTATTTCGGGATTATTTTTGGGTTATTTCGGAGTTATTGAAGAGAAACTCATATATTCAACTTCAATAACCTAGAAACAACTCCGAAATAATCTCCGCAGTTCTATTTCAATAACCCCGAAATAACGTCGCAGAGGTTATTCTGAGTTATTTCGGGATTATTGAAGTGGAATATGTGAGTTTATCTTCAATAGCCCTGCAATAACCTCTGCAATATTATTTCAGAGTTATTCAAGTGAAACCGTTGAGGCTATTTCAAGATTATTTTTGAGTTATTTCTGGGTTATTGCGGAATCCGCGATTTTACTTTAATATTTTTTTTAAATGGACCTGATATAACACATGAGAGCACATTACAGGGAGTCTGCGTGCAGGGCTATTCGGAGAAATGGATTTATTGTTGTTGTTGTATTGTTTCGAGAGTTCAATTATAATAAGTTAGATTTATTTTTATTAGTACTAAATATTTGTAGTGGCAAAAGTCGAATTTATTACGAACCGAGCTGCGGTGTGATGATTTGATATCACCTCAGGAGTATTGATGCATCAGTACTCCAATGGTTGGGTGTCACGTGGTGCCACGGTGGGACCATTGCATACGTGACACCCCACCATTGGAGTACTGATGTATCAGTTCTCCTGAGGTAACATTTTTTCGATGATTAGAGGTGTTTCGTCACCACAGACTTCACGTTTAGTCACCAGTTGCAGAACAGAAAAAAAGGATGTATTTATGGCTTTAGGGTTACGCTAAAGTTATAAGTTGGCTTAAAAGTGGTCAAATATTTTTGCTTTAATGTGAACAGCCACGGATGTATAAAAATCATAAAGCCTACAGCATTAATAAAAAAAATTAATGGCATCTTCCAGTTGTTATTGAGGCCTCCTTTTATCTCCATCCACTTTTCTGGCTCCATCAGCACTAATAAAAAAAAAATTAATGCATATTGGCATATTATAAAACCCTAGATATCATTTTATAGGTAAACTTATTTGATGAGTATAAAGTTTTCATCTTCAATCATCCTACATCTGTCACATTATTCTCTCTGGTTCCCACTAAAGTTGTGTTTGCTATCTAATGGTGGAATCAGAATTACATAAAAGAAAGAAAGGATGATTAAACAAGTTTGCAAATATGTATTGTTATGAGTGAAATTACCAAAATAATTAGAAAAAAAGACACTTCTACTTTTTATTTCATAATTTTATTTTGGCAATCTTCATCATTGATAAGTAGAGTTTAGGCCTTTTAAGTAAAATTGATCTTGCATACAAATAAATGTCTAAGGATCAGAAGAGCGTGGGAGTGTATTAGGGGCATGTAATAGAAATAAGAATATTCTGAGTGTATTTGAAGAGAATATAAGTTAGTATAAGCTGATGAATTTTAGTAGATCAGCAACTTTTATCAATTCACTTTAATTCAGCAAGACAATGGCCAACGTTCAACTCGATAGAAATAATATATTTTAATCAACTCGACTTATATTCCTAAGGCGTAGTTGCACCAACACACAACATTGTACTTCAAGGTGACTCATTTTTTATTCTTGTGCTCATTTATAAAACTTCCTTACAAGACATCTTATTTTGTTTTCCTTTTTTTTTTTCCAATTGTTGAGGTATATTCTATGTTTTCTCTTCTCTCACAAGATTTATGTAAGAGGTGACATTTTTTAATTCTACACGTGTTGTGAGTGTTAATCATGTCATACAAGACAATAAGCTTTGAATAGGGAAGATCTCGTGCTTGAGAAGATTCAATCAATGAGTGCACACGAGAGTTGGTAGCTCGTCTAGTGAATGATTTGAAGGAGCAAATGATAATGATGATTCGAGAAATGTTGGAGCATGTGCCTAGAGTTACATCCAAAGTTTAGATTTGGATTATAGTTCGAATAGGTGTGTTGCCAATAGTGAGAGCACAAAGTGCTCTACCATCAACACTTGGTGAAGAAGATGATGTGACTAATTATCCTAATAATGAAAGATCTACTATCCAAATAATAGAAACAAGAGAATAAGATAAGGAAGAAAGAGAATTCAACCACTTGTCAGATCTTTTTCATGGAATATAGCATAAGCTAAAGAACCATAAGTTGAATATTTTCTCTCTAGTAACTTACCAAGGAATATCAAACCATATTGACCATGTGGTCATATTTGAGTCTGCAGTATGCTTTCTTAGGGTCAAAGATGCTCTGAAATGTTGATTGTTCTTTAGTCAACATATTGTTGGTTTAACAGCTTACTTACTAGAGTAATCACTTCTTGCAAAGAGTACAAACACATATTTATCACTCACTTCACTAGTGCACACATGTCGCTTAAGAGTTCTCATACTTTGATGAGAATGTTGGCATCATCTTTTGATGCACATATGACTCCCCAAGGCTTAAGGTATTCGTCTTTGATTCTCTGACACATGGTTATGATCGTTTTGCTAGGCTTTGGTTGTCGATGAGGTGAGGGTCAGCCGTCATTACATTGATTAGACAATCCCGACTTGACAAGTTTTGTTCGGCACAACACGAACAAATCATACCCTAAATTGGCTTACTTGTGAACAATTATCTGTTAAATGAATCCGAATGGCGGAACGAACAGTGCAGATGCATCTGAAGCATCACTTTCACTTAAGAAGGATCTTCCAAGTCTTGTCAGGTGGCCTAAATCATCAAAACCAAAAAATTACCCCCAAACAAGGTAGGTGTGACCACGTCTTATGGGGCGTGACCACACTTAAGTGTGGCCAAGCTCACATGGGGCGTGACCACGTCCCTTTTGTGGTGTTGTCGTGCCACACTTTGCAATCATTTTCTTAGTCAGCTTACTGCATGGTCCCCCATTTTCCACCCTGACACCGTCCCACCGCCAGGATAAGCTGTTGAACCAATTTTAAAGCCAGAAATGATTGTTTGTAAAATGGGGCAAACAGTCATTCCTTGAGTCCAGGAAAATATCTCGGGCATGGATGATTGGAGAGGTAGATCACGCTCATTTCACTTGGAGGGAGCTAGAGAGCGATCATAGGGAGGCTGGAGGAGAGTCTTTGGGAGCTTTTGCACTTTTCTTCTTCTTCCTCTCCTCCATTCTTCTCCTTCTTCCTCCTCTCACTTTTTCTTTCTCAGTCAGTTTTTTTATCCAAGAAACTAAGGAAAGAGACAGAGACTTGAGGAGTGATCATAGGTGTGCTTGGAGAGTTTCAGAGAGTTAACTTCTCCATTCTTCTTCTTCCTCCTCTTCTCCATTTTTCGTCCTTCTTCTTCTACTCGTATTTTTTTTTCTAAGTCATCATCTTGGACCAAGAAATAGATAGGAAGAGCGAAGCGTGGTATTGCACGGGTACCATAAAACTCCTTGCTGGGGGAGCTTCATCACCTGAGGGGAGTGGAGGTTGGTAATTAGAACGTCACCGAAATCTTTTCAAGACAGAGAGCTTCTTCCAGAGCAACGACTGAACTTCGATCAACCACCTCAACTTCACATTTTTCATTTCTTAGAGCCTCTAAGTTTGGTTGCTTGTTGTGCTTAGAGGAGACTAAGAGCCTTTTGTGGATTTGTCCATATGAATTTGAAAGATTTCCCCTTGAGCCTAACACCAAAATCCCATAAAAGACGAGATTGTGTCAATCTTGTTGTTTGTTCGGCAATTTCACTTGGATGGACAAGTGAAATTGAAGGATCGAGCGGATGACAACGCCACTTTGGTTGTCATTCTCTCGATTGTAAAGAGTTTTCCTCGTGAGTAAATTCGTCGCTTTATGCTGGGCAAATAGGTGGCAAGGTCACGTTGCTTCGTGCACTACGACATTGACACCTCTTCAATCGATTCAACTCTAGAATCTACGGGAAGTTGTTGAACGAGTTCGATGTGTCGCTGATCATTTTGGATTGCATTGCATATGTGTGTTCTTTTGTTACATTTTTTGCATGTGGATCATGTCGCATATCGTATGCATGATTGTGTGAGCACTACATTTCGAGCAACCGCCTTAGTACGATGACCGATCACTTTGGGTTCGATCGGCCATCCAGCCCGACCAACCTATTTTTTGCGATCGATTGGCCACCTCGGCGTGATTGCCCAATCACTTTGGGTCTGATCAGCCATCCCGGTCAAATCGACATTTTTTTAAGCTCGATCGGCTGCTCCGACCCGTTCGCCCGATAACTATAAAGCTGAGCGGTTGTTCTGGCCCAATCGACCTATTTTTTCAGGCAGGGTCAGCCGCCTTGTTTTGATCGCCCAATCTTCTATGTTAGATCGACAACCCTATGTCGATCACCAGCTTTAAGTCTGATCGATCGTCTTGGTATAATCGACCTATTTTTCGGATTCGATCGACCACCCCTGCCCGACTGCCTAATCATTTGGGATCGATTGACCACTCCACATCGATAAATTGCTTCAGGTCCGGTCAGCAGTCCCAGCCCAATAGACCTATTTTCCGAGCTCGATAGGCCACCCCGACTCAATCGACTAATCTTTTAGGGTCAATCAACCACCCCGCATCGATCGCTTGCTTTAGGTCTGACCGACCATCCTAGCCAAATTTACTTTTTTTTCAGGCTTAATTGACCACCCTGACTCGATCCCACGATTTTTTAGGTTGATCGATCGTTTCATGTCGATCACTGGCTTTAGGCCCGATCGGCCATCCCGGTCCAATCGCCCTATTTTTCAGGTGTGATCGGTCCTCACGACCCCCATCTCGACCACTCTTTCGGGTTTGATCGATTGTCCTAGTTCATCAACTCACCTTTTCGGTTTGACCGATCGCTATGGCACGATTGATCGATCACTTGCATGTTTGTATTCTTTCTTGTATGTTGCATGTTTTCTTTGCATGTGTATGAAAATTTTTTTTGACTTGATGTCTATGATTTATTTCATTACATGTAAATATAGATACATTATATGCTTTGCCCATGACATGTGTTGTATGTCTTCTTAAGCATTCTTGTTTGGAGTGTCTCTTTGACCACCCCCACTCTATGGGGTGACCTTGAGCACCCACGCTTGTGAGTGTCTTCTCTACATACTCCGCGGTATGCACGGAGAATAGACACTTGCACATTTTGCGAGAAGGCTCACATATATACCCACATGCCTCATTCACCATGACATCGCTCAGATTGTCGTTGGGTATTTCACATCGTGTTGAATACGAGTTATGCTTCTCAGTCGTTGAACTCGTATGAGACACAATGTATGTTCACATAAGTATATAATTCTCACTGTTATGAATCATATGACTTACTATTTTTGAAACTTTGCATTTTTGCACGTTTACAATTAAACTAAGCCAAGAAAATAAAGTAGACAAAAAATGAGATTAACACTCACTCTTTCAGTAATTTTAAATTTCCAATCTTCAGCATACCCCATCTCTTCTGAGTTTGTTAATCCCTTTCCTGAGCCCTTTACTTGCTAAATCATCATTAGACTATAT